CAATTTGCTCCAGTCATACACCTAACTTATATTCTTCAGAAGCGCTACTAACTCTAACAGTACCAATTGAGAAGGATCTTGTCTACAAACTTTATTGCTTTGTATTTGTTTTTATTTTTGACTAGTTTAAGATATCAAAAGACAATTTTGTCTCCGTTTTTTTTCTATATGGCTTCGCGCGGTTTGTGCATTTAGCCAATGTCAAGTGTAAAATGTTTACATATTCTATAGCACTCGTGGTCAAAATATTAGTCAAGTCAAAGTAAGTGGCAGTCAAGTCCATCCCCCTTTCCCTATGTTTCAGTAAATGTGTGGGGATTTACTGGAACCTCCCCGTGGACTTCTTGAGGGAACGTCGAAAGACACTTTCCGCTATTTTGTTTCACTTGTCAACACTTGTACATGTTTCCGAACACTAAGTGGTTAATAATCCACCATTATTAGACACTAACATCCGCCACAACACAATTTTTAACAATAAAAACAAAACTGATATAGTGACGCTTCCCGATCCCGACAAAAAGTCATTTTGTCTCCTTTACATGTAGTAGAAAATATTTAATTGCATTTAAAACTAAATACCCTACAAAGTTTTTTTATCTGTTTTTGTAAGCCCTTTGTATGTGTGTGTAATCTTATATATAAAATTCTCGTGTCACAATGTTAGTTACCATACTCCTCCGAAACGGCCTGACCTATTTTTATGAAATTTTTAATATTCATATTCCGTGGGTCTGAGAATCGGCTACAATCTATTTTGCATATCCTTAAGTGATAATGGTTGTCCACCTGTAACGTACTGTTCTGAAACCTACAACGCGCCTTCGCGCCAAAATTCAAACTATTGGGTATTGTAACGTTCTCATATGGGTTAGGAGGAATCTTATCCCAGTAAATTGATAGAATACTACGTTACACACCCCTTAATATTTTTTGGACAATATTTATTTTTTTATAATGTGTTAAAAAATACATACAACCCCAAATTTTCTCTTCTATCACCTGCCCCTATTTTTATGGCGGTCACGCAAAGAAAACGGCTCATGTTATGCTGCCACTTCACTTGGCTATTTGTATTTGCTATTTGTAAACTTGACAACAGCCTGTCCCTATCATGCTTTATAAAGAATAACAATAATAATAAATATTTCCTACACTCACACCATTTAGCCTAGCCCCAAAGCAAGCACTGTAAGGCTTGTGTTATGGGATACTAGGGTAACGGATAGTATACTTAAATTGTACATAAAATATATATTGTATATATGTTTATATAGAAATACATATTAATCATCCATGACAAATGCTCGTATTCATCAGACAAACATCTGCCCCACCGGGATTCGAACCCGGGACCTCTCGAGTCGGCGACACTAGTGGTAAAGTTTAGTTATTTCTAACTAGTTTATTAAATGTATATAATTATATGTGTATGTTTATTGTATATATCTATTTATTGATATATGTATTTATGATATTTTATTTATATATAATATCTATTTATCGTTTATTATAGAATAGTATAGTAAATGTAAGTAGGATTAGGTATTTTTTCTTCTTTCGAACTTTAGTAGGTCACACTCTATCGTCATAACTTTCGTCTCCTTCACCCTCACTGGTTGACTGGTACAGAATGCCTATAGCATTAAGTCCGCCGTTTACTGTATTTTTGTATAAAAGAATAAAACAAATAAATAAAAGGACAGACTGATGTCAAGTTTTCAGATAGGAAACACGACGACCTCCGTGGCCGAGTGGTTTATACGCTGGGTTTCATGGTGTCGTCGACTCGAGAGGTTCGAATTCCGGTGGGGGGCAGATGTTTGTGTGATGAATACGTGCATTTGTACTCCAGTCATGGATGTTTAATATGTATATCTATATAAATATACTTATATATGTACAGTATATGTATTCTATCCGTTACCCTAGTATCCCATAACACAAGCCTTATAGTGCTTACTTTAGGGCTAGGCTAATTGGTGTGTGTGTTGGAAATATTTATTTATTATTATTTAAACACGAATACCCAAGTAAAGTGATGGTATTACGCACAATCATTGCGTTTCGCCACAATGTGTGCATGACTATTATGTCAGATTGTTTGCAAGAAGTTAATGTGTGCGTGTGTAGCGACGAGCATATCTACCATCTACTACACAATATGTAGTAGATATCTTTTTGGGCCGCTTTCGTGTAGTTAAAATGGTATCTAGGCGTGCATACAATCAAAGTTTGTTCACCATTATTATAATTAAACTGTACTAGTGGCCCGCCCTCGCTTCGCTTCGGTATTTTATCCCTTTAGGGGTAGAATTGATCAAAATCCTTTCTTAGCGGATGTATACATCATAACATCTACCTGCATGCCAAATTTCAGCCCGATCCGTCCAGTGGTTTGTGCTGTGCGTTGATAGATCACTATGTCAGTTAGTCACCTTTGAGTTTTATATATATAGATAAGTGTGACCAGTAAAATAAGACATTCCAGTTTGCTGACAGGCAAGTTTATTTACTTCAAGAAATTTTACACATATCACTTAACTTTACGATATGTCGAAGAAGTCTTTGAAAGAATCACGTAAATAATTTCACAATAAAAAAAACTTTAAACTTAACACGTAACACTATTCATGTAAATTAATTTAAATATATACAAATTCAAGCACAAAATTTCAGTGGGTTCGTTGCGAAGAGAACTCCGGCTGGTAAATGAAATTACAACAGTGTAATTGTTTATACAACTATATTGATAATGCAGTTTATTTTTAATTCATTTAAATAATAAAATTGGTAATTTTAGATTTTTACTTATTTCTTTTTACAAGACATTAATAAGAGTATTTACATTTTATAAACGTACTAGCAAGACAACATTACAATTTATATATTATATTCTCATAGCATCACAGTGAATTCATTAATTTTTAAAATTATTATTACTATTTTTAAAGTGTGTCTTTATATTTATTCTCATATACATTCGGTAAATTACAATTTATGGTTAATTTACAATAAATTATTACAGAAGTGTAAAATTTTTAGTTGTAAAAGTTATTTTTTATTATATTTATTTTGTTGTGCAGTGCATATTCACTTTTAATGAAGTAAAAGAACGGTATTATAAAATTATTTTTATTTTCTTCGAGAAATATTTTATTGTCTCGTCTCTGTTTGAAACCTATTATTTACAAAATATTCAGTTTGTTTTATAAATGTGTTCGAAATATAATTAATAAGTACAGTTAATATAGGAAGAGTAAAATTTAAATAATAAAATTATTTCTAATAAAACTTTTGATAACAATACAATTGAACACTTAATTTGATTGGCATTAGATAAATGCTTACAAAGTCAATATTTCTGAAAGCCAAACTATTTTTTATTTAACTTTATAGAAATATTTGTGATGGAATAAAATATTTTTGAGCATATCTGTACAACTAAATAGATGAATCTATTAAAAAACCCTTAATTACCTGTTAGATGATTTTAAAACTTTCAAAGCGGATTTATTTTACCCCATTTAATGGAAAGGGTGATTGATATTATGTTTTATGTGGGTATTAGGGATTAATAAAACACATGCGCTTTTCCTAGCGATATTTCTCATGAAAATGACTTTTTCGACCGATGCGACCTACGACCTTTTACCGACCTTTGTTGTATTTACTTTAATTAAAGTTAAACTTTTATTACATCGCTCAGATTACAGAACAAAAGGTAGATGAAGCACACGGTACACTCAATGCGTGGCACCATAGCAAATACGAAGTCAAAAACGAATATCAATTCCCGCCAGTACACTACAACGCATCGTGTTGTGAATACGTCCCGTGAATATAAAGTTTTTATCAAAACTGTGCCGCCTTGTTTGACATTGTAAAAACTGTTCAAAAAGACAAAAAAAGTATTTACTTTTGACTTCATATTTGCTTTGTAGGCGGCACTTGCGTGTTCCGTGCGTGCCTTTTGTTCCGTAATCAAAGTTATTTGCCTTTAAGTATTAGATTTTTTATTGTTATTAAAAATTCTGATCATATCAATAAGCATCGGTGGTTCAGTGCCAGAGGTAGAAATCTCGTCGACTACGCTGATAGGCCGGGTTCGATTCCCAGCCGTAAAAGGTAATTTTTTATTAATTGTTTTCAAAGTCTCACTTGTTTATTTGATGTTAAAGTCATAATGAGAATTCAGATGTCTACCTATTTCTGTTTAAGAGATAGGGCCCTGTATCCATGAAAGCGTTGGTTATGATTAACACGGGTAGAAAAAGCATTCGTGTAAGCTATCCCTTAGAATTAGATGCAAGGGAAATAAGAAATTTCTCCGCAGTGTTATACTTATAATTATTGTTCCTTAACAATATATAAGGTCATAGATATTATGTAAAAAAATCGAGACAAGCGAAACGAAAAAAATTCTACAAAAAAAAAAGAAATAAAACTGAAAGATTAAAAAAAAGAAAAATCTTTGTTCTGATCTTTTATTTATTTTACGGTCCATCTCTTTGGTAAATAAGTTTTAATGTCTGAACATTCATCTGCACTTATTCAATTTTATTTTGATAAATTATCTAACTACTCCTTAAAATGCTAATATTTCTCTTTGTGAAGTGATCTCCTAATTTAAAATATATAATATTTTATCCAATATTTTTTTTCTATACACACATTCCAGTTGTAACTTTACATCAAAGGAAACAATTGAAACAGTCTTTTTTCTTTAATTCGATGTTTTAATACTACACACAATTTATAATATGACATGAAATTACATAAATGAATAATTAGTCTAACTTTTGATAACAACTTCCTGAAACGAAGGTGGAGAATATGAACTGTTTGTTTCTAATGAATTCAACAAATGTTATAAACCAACTATTAGACGCAGACAAAAAATGGTTTTCGCGTGGACTTACGAGTATGCAATGATCTAATGGAAATCGTCATTCATAATGTTTCCCTTAACCCAAAGTTAGTTGAGTAGAAAAAGATATCTAAACGCAGCTCTCCCTCGCGTTGGCCAGGAGCGGTGTTCTCGTGGTGACCACCTCTCTCCGCCGCGATAGAGTGCCGCTTGTGACGCTGCGGCGATCTTCCGCTAGCGTGCCGATGCTCTGCGGAAATTAAAGAAATTATTCAGTACTACGTGTCTAGCAGGGGTACCTGCTAAATTGATTTATGAAGTAAATGAAATAAATATCTCTATTTTGTTATACGAACTTTCTTCCCTTATTCCATCCCCTTTAAGTACAATCACTGTCTCGATATCAGGAGGTGCAAATCCAACTACTGTCTGATTGAACGGGTGGAATTCATTCTGGTAAACTTATCTTTAAATTTGTAATTAATCTAGCTAGTTATGTAAAAAATAATAATATCGACAGTGGAAAAGCAAAATTGCTTATACGCAACTTTGGTGCTGCTTAACAATTAACTTAATTTCGGTTTTTATTTAATGTTAATTTAAAGCAGCACTGAAATGACATATAAGCGATTTTGCGTTTTCACTGTCGATATGCAACAAACATGTGACACTGTCAAAATCGGTAAAGTGGTTTACGCGAATAGTAATTTTCACATGTTCTGGCTGTGTCGCAGGTGTATATTGTGCACGCTTCTATGAAATCCTACGAGATGCAACTCCATTGACTCGTAGGGCAGAGGCTCGGGCGCCGATCTACGTCACGGGAACAGTTGAAATCTAGAGGTATTATCTGGACATCAGACGCGAGCGTGTTGGACGTATGAGGCTTGGTAGACTTGCCCTGGTGCTAATGGAGGCTGGACGAGCTTCTGGAAGAGCCCACGGGAGGCGACACCACCGACTCGTAGGGCAGCGGTCGAGCCGGCTGGTCCGCATAACAGCAACAGTTGAGATCTGGTGGTATTACCTAGGCATCTGACGCGGGCGTGTTGGGCGTGTGAGGCGTGGTAGACTGGTTCTCGTGCTGATAAAAGCTATGCGCGCCTCTCGAACAGCCCACGGTAGGCGACACCATTGACTTGTAACACGTTGATAGGGCAACCGGTCCATGCCGCGAGAACAGTTGAAATCTGGTGGTATTGGGCATCTGACGCGGGCGTGTTGGGCGTTCGAGGCGTGGTAGACTGGCTTTCATGCTGATGAAAGCTGTGCGTGCTTCTGAAAAAGCCCATGAGAGGCGACTCCACCGACACGTAGGGCAACGGCTCAGGCGGCTGGTTCGCGTCACAGGAACAATTGACATCTGGCGGTATTACCTGGGCATCAGACGCGGGCGTATTGGGCGTATGAGGCGTGGTAGAACGGCCCTCGTGCTGGTGTAAACTGTGTGCGCTCCTGGAAGAGCCCACGGGAGGCGACACCACCGACCCGTAGGGCGGCGGCTCGGGTGGCCGGTCCACGTCACGGGAACAGTTGAAATCTGAACAAGAGTATTGATTCTTAAGAATTAATTTTATATTCAATTCGTTTTATATTCTGTTCATGTAGGTGGGGCCATACTGCAATGGGGAAAGAGAGAACGTATTCTATGCTCCCCAAAGTGTTAGCTGTACGGGGAGGCGGCTCTGTACAGCTAACACTTTATCAGTTACTTATGTAACTTCTGGATAATGTGAAGGTGCTCGAGGCTAGTCAGGTCTACTATATACACGTCTAGATACAGTATTTACTGCAGGAAAGCGGCACAACAAATATCCACTACATATGGTAAATATGCTCGTCGCGTAAATAAACACGTTGCGCTAAACACGTGTCGATTTCTTTGCGTGGTTTATCTGGATTGCTCTATCTAGGCGTATAAATAATTCAAAGACATAGGGAATGGGCCGAGCGATTCTCGGTTAACACTGACAACTCTCTAGGTCTGTTGAGAGAAAGCGATGGTGAAGCCTATAGGATGGACGAACCATTGGCCATACATTCGACTCTCTCACACTTATCAACCCATTTTTTTACGGTTAGACAGGGTACATTCATTAAATTCTATATGTCTATGGTGTTATGGTGGCAACTTCTCGATAGTGTGACGCGTGTTTTAGGTTGGTTCAGTATACAACGCGTGGTTGTGGATTCGGAGGCAAACTTAGGCAGCTACGGAAATTCGCACGTAGATGGATCAGGAGGGAGGCAAAGAAAGAAGACAGGGAGAAGAAGATCATCTGCTGGAATTCAGCAATACCACTTCATAGTGAGCACGGGCGACTATGAAGGCGCCGAATGTGTTTCCGTGTGCGTTCGTCTCAGAAGCTCCAGAACCAGAAGAAGAGAGAGAGTACGTTCCAGAAGAAGAACCAGAGAAACAAAGAAGACGAAGAAACATTTTTTAAGGAGTCGAGTGAGGAGCCATTGCGCACTGTTATGTATAAAGCAAATTCGGCAAAATATAACGTGGGTATGAATGATAAAATATCACCATAATTAAAATAAAATTTTTTGCTTATTCAATGAAATCCACATTAACATAGCACTGTTAATTTATTTCTAACACTAAAGAAATATTTATACACAACATGTCTCGTACTGAATGGCATCATAAAATTTTCACCTTCAAATCTAGCCAGTAAGGCTACATAATAATTTAGTGCTGCTGGAGAATCCTTTACATGCTGTGGCTGCTAAGATAGAACGGAAGTTGCAGTATGGGGTGTCTCGATGAAATAGGGGCCTTAGAATCTCAGGCACAGATAACATGGTACGCGAAATTTTGTAAAGAACGGCTAAAAGCTAGCACGCTTATTCACACCTTTAAAGCCACGAATTTCAAAAGTTGTACAGCATTATATAAGTGTACTTACGAAGTCGGTTACTTACTAAAGTTTTTTTTATTAATCAAGTGTTGCAAACCTTATAGAAAATTATAATTTGCCTTATAATAATTGATAAGTACCGAGTGATTAACACCGTCTTTTAAATCCATAGAAAAAACAGAGCTTTTCCTAGTACTGAATAGACACTACAAACTTTACATAGAATGAATGAATATATTCTTTATTGCAATATTACACACAACACAGAGAATAAAAAACACAGGAACAAAAACACAAAAGGCGGCCTTATTGCTAAGGTAGCAATCTCTACCAGGCAACATTTGGTTAAATGAAATCATACCATAAGAATAGTAGAAAGAGCGGGCTAGTGCATTGTAAAAATAAATAAATAAACGCAAATATAAGAATATATATATATAATACTAGCGGCCCGCCCTCGCTTCGCTTCGGTGTAGAGCTGAAGTGTAGACTACACTTCTTGTTCTCAGGCTTGTATTTATACACAATGACATTCATCTATGATTCTTCTTATACCTGCATGCAAAGTCTCAGTCCAATTGGTTTAAAATTGACAAAGTTTCATACAAACTTTCATTCCCTATTTTATCCCTTTGGGGGTAGAATCGATCAAAATCCTTTCTTAACGGATGCCTACGTCATAACATCTACCTGCATGCCAAATTTCAGCCTAATGCGTCCAGTGGTTTGGGCTGTGCGTTGATAGATCACTATGTCAGTCAATCACCTTTGAATTTTATATATAAAGATAGTCAGTATGTAAGGAAGCTATAAAATACAATTAATAGTAATGAACAGATAAAAAGATCAGACAGAGTCCAGCTTGAGGAAATATTCCTTAATATTAATAGTAAAGGATTGACTACAAAACATACCTTTTCCCAGAGGCACTACATCAGGGTTCTTATCATCAGGCTGCATCGGAGAATGGTTCGTGTTATTATGCATCGACGTTTTGTATCCCTTCACCGTTTGCATGGGAGCTAAGGAAAAAAGAAAAATGTTTGTATAACTAAGCCTCCGATATCCATCTCGCATGAATACGTATTACGTTAACTTGGCTATTCGTGTTTGCTATTCTATTTGTAAACTTGACATTCATCATCATCAGCCTATTAATGAGCCCCCTGCTGGGGCAGAGGCCTTCCTTGTGGATGGAATAGGGAGATTGGGCCATGACCCACCACGCGGGCCCAGTGCGGATTGGCGGGTGCTAACGACTGCAGACTGAGGAACTCGAGATAGAAGATTTTTAGTCAACCGTCCAATGACCGACCACTGCGAAAGTTGCTTAACTTCAACGATCGCAGCCGAACGCGCTAACCACCCGCGCCATCGAGCTCCTCAACTTGACATTAGTCTGGCCTTTTCATTCCTTATAAAGCATGATTAAGTCAGACTGTTGTCAAGTTTACAAATAGCATATACAAATACCCGAGTGAAGTGCTAACATGACGTATCTACATATAAAAACGTTGTATAATTTTTTTATAACTTTTTTGTTATATTTGTTTTATACCTACCTACCTACCTACCATAGGAGAGCGATTATGTAAAAAAATAACAAAATTAAGTTTTTTCGATCTGTGAAATTTGCTAAAGCGATGGTATGGAACTCTTTATTTACGAAACCACCTGAACTTGGCCATCATTTTGTATTATTCCTGTCAACATCGCAGTTACGTTAGCGCACCAGTGTCCTCTTGCTTTTTTCTCTATAAGAGGGAAAGAGACACGGAATCCACCTATCCTTCCCCTCATTCTGTTAATGAGTTCAAAATAATTGCAGACAAGTGTAATCAGCCCACGCAATGATTCCTGGAGCTTAACTTCACATCGCTTATCTATGTGGAAGGGGTCTTAGCCGTCAGTGTAATTGTTGCGGAGATCCATTTAATAAAAAGATCCGTAGGGAGTGTTGTTTACATTTTGTTATGGCGTTTACTATCGTAGAAAATTGTTATTATCTGTAATTTTATAGTCATAGATATTTTTTTCTACTCCCACTTCTATACATTTACACGTAATTTCGGTCCTAGGCTCCTTGTGCTGACGTTACATCATATTATAGTCTCTAAACAATATAAAACTGTATTATTATCCAATTCTCAATTTTAATATTTAAAATTTTTTAGCATAATCTTTTTAATAAAATGCTCTATCTAGTTCTTACCGTTAATTTTAGATTCTACGAACTTTTAAGTATTTGAATACGAAACGATTAACGTGATTTCGCTAAAGTGCTTACTTTAGTCATAGGAAAGTAAACGAATGAATGAATCAATAGCATTCACACCGACAAAAGTTACGAATGTGAATTGTGAATTGTAGGAGTTACAAATAAAAGCAGTTGTGTACAACGATAGCTGGTATGGCCGTATAGCATGCTATCGCAGTCTAGGTTCTAAAATCACCTGGTACTGGCCTGGCACTATTCATATTTCTGTCTATAAAATCGAACGGTTTTATGACCAATATATCATGTGTTCGAACACTAACACAGCAGCATCTAAATCTTATGAACCTTAAAAATAAATTGTTAAATTCTCCAACGAAATTTGTAAATATTAGCAATATCGCGTTACGTTTGCATTCCGTTGGTGAATTCGCAAAATTTTTATCAGAGCATGTGACACTGCGAAGTTTCCCCGAGAACATCTGGTATGGTGCGGTCGTCCACGAATTCAGAATTTTAATAAATACAAAACGCTGGCCGAGGCCGATGCTGTCAAGAGCAGGAGAGACTTAATAAAAATGTCGTATGAGTGTGACGGAATATCTGCAATACCAGTAAAAATGCAGAGCATAAATCGCATTTGAAACGCAGTGAAACTTGTTGAAAGATTGTGCCGGTTCGAACGTACAGTTCGTAAATTCTTATTTAAAATACTCTTTTTAAATTTTATGGATACACTGCAGATGTGTTTGGCTCTAGAAATAAACGTATTGTGTAACCTACATGTGTTATCATCAACCGTATTGAAAAAATAAATATAGAACATCGGTATTCCAGCGTTTAAACAAAGAAAATAGAGCCCTACCAGTCTGTTCCAGAACAGATTTCTACAATGTGTTTTTGTACGACAAGAAAGTGTTCATACCAAATTTTTTCAGAAAAATTTATAACCTATAAAAAAGAAAAGGTTGAAAATTAAAACTTCTCTCGTAACATATTCCTTGCAAGCTGCACAGAAATACTAAAAGGTCAGTGACGTTTTACTACAGTCTTTCTGTTACAGTATTTCAGGCTTCCACATAAAGCGGACGTTGGAAATTCCAGTCACGCGAGCAGATCTGCCGCTATTCACCACTAAACTTCCTGGCCGAAGCAATTCCGATTTATTTGTGCTCAAGCGGAGTCCTTTATATTGAACCGAAACAATTTACTTACTAATGCATTCGACGTTCCACCACCAAGGTACAGTCATTGTTAGGAATTCCACAATATAGGAATTTGGAATTGAAAACTAGTTTGCTGCTGCCAGAACAGTGTGCATTGTATTGTTTATGACTTCATAACTGTTTGAGGTGTTTTGGAATACAAACCACTGCTAAGATATTAAATGCTACCGTTAATATCTCTTGTTCATAACAAACTGAAGAATGACTTAATAGAATAGTAATATAAATGGAATACCTTTCATCGAACATAACATTTAATGGTGAATGAATATCGAAAGGATTAAAATAACTGGAAATGTAACTACAGGTAGGTATATAAAGTTCGCAGAAACAAAAACAATGAGTGGCATCAATACACCTAGTATACATGAAAAGTTAGAACTAAACAATATTTCAATTAAGCTTTCCATTTTCAGCAACGCGAGTCCATTTAAATTTCCATTTTCGAGTCGGGTAAATAATTTGTTAAATCACTGGTTTAAAATTGTCCGTAGTAAACTCTTTCGTCAGTAAAAGGCGCCAATTTTGCCGTTAAATTTAAGACTTGTGCAATTTTCGCTGAATCCTATTGTTGTACAACACGCCAAGTTCGTTGAAAATGTATATCCATTATGTAAATTATCGTAGTCTAAGAATTTGTAAGCAACAAAATACATAAATAAATACCTATATACAAATTTCCAAGAATATTCTGAGATTTTGATATAAAGTTTATTACGAATGTGTACTGTAATGGCATGTTTATTTTATAAGTGATACTTTATTACCGATTACTCTAAAGAAATATTATGATAGTTTTTCAAAACAGAATTATGTCGAGAATTTGAGGTATTTTAGTAGAAGTAACCTTTTTGTTCGTATTTTTTTTTAATCTAAATTACCATTCATTGGTTTCTGTTATATAGGGTGGTAATGGGTTTAAGATATAAAATACGAACGCGTTCGCAATATACAAAAGTATGACAAACAACAATTAATTTCTCAATGTTATTTTAAGGTTCCATAGAAACGCAGCATTGGTTCATTCATTCAAGTATATATATCTGCACCAAAGTTGAAATGAAACCCAACAAAAGTTCTATGTGTAGTCGATGAGAAAACACACTAGCTTTATGAAATTGTACATATTTAGAAATTCTTTTGATGTCAGATGAATAAGGCTTCAGTGTTCATATTGTTTGATCATCCGCCATTCTATTATTTACCTTCTCCTATGCCATTTAATGAATTTTTCATATTCTTCCTGTTTGCTTCGACCAACTTACCCGAACACAATATTAAATTTACATCTGTTTTTACTTCAGGCTTTAATTTTCTTTAATTAAACGATTTTCCCTTAGCCTTGTTTGAATATTTATTTCAAACCCAGTCTGACAATTAGGCTGAGTGGGTTTATATTTTTCTTTAAATTTATAAACCAAGCAGTTTAGTAAACTTTTTTTTAGATTTAAACATCTAGCAGTTAAATGCTTAAAAATAAATAAAAACATAACTATAATTGCTATTTCTTCTTTCAAATGTTTAATACTTGAAAAAGTATTCATTTGACATTGTGGGTTACCTACAATGCGAAGAGATTGCAGCTTAAGGCTAGGAAAATTTCGACGCGGCCAATAGGGCCGTGGTAGCATAATGGTCAGTGCATTCGCCCGGATTGCGAAGGGTGCGGGTTCGAGTCCCGTCCGCTGCCTGGTCCGCGTGGATTTTTTTTACTAGTAAACTTTTCTTTAGATTTAAACATCTAGCAGTTAAATGTTTAAAAATAAATAAAAACACAAGCAGTTCAATGTTAAAGATAGAAATAAATCACCACTGTATTATTATTACCTTCATATTGCCTCGGTCGGTGATGCCTACGTCTCGCCAGCATGGCTATGATGACCACAGCAGCAAGGGTCCCTATGGTCCCAGCTATGATGCCAAGCATCCAACTCGCGTCGACGTTGCCGCTGCTCGTTGTCTTTGCTTCTGCATGAACAATTTTTCTATTAATACGATCATAATAATGAGAAGCTAGAAGGCGTTGAGGAGCTCAATAGCGCAAGTTGTTAGCGCATATGGTCTGCGATCATGGAAGTTAAGCTACTTTCGTAAATTTGCCATTACGAAAGTAGCTTAACTTCCATGGTTTTCCATTCATTCCATTGGATGAGCGAACAATAAATTACTATCTTGAACTCCTCCGTGCCATGGAAGTCACTATAAGCCTTTGATCAATTTCCAATCCAAACATTCATCAGATAGTCAATCATTAACAATCAGACCAATCTCCCTATTTCCTCCATAGGGAAGACCTCTTTTTTTTTGAGTGTGCATGCTGTTGGTCGCAGCTGACCTTTACAGCGTTACCGGGTTTGGGGACGGCGAGATTCTTAGGGGACCTCAAGCCGAGAATTGGCGAGTGCCTCTAGGGGTATTCCAGGCCGATGGCATCTCCCCACGGCGGAGTCTCCTCTCCGTCTGGAGCCTCTAGACCACTCGAACCTGAGGGATCGGCTCAACTAGAGGGCGTCTCTGAGACTAGGACCTCAGCTCTAGTAAGCCGTTGTCGTGGGGGGCAGGGAAAAATGCCCAGGTATGTACTTGTACCTGGTATAGCGTGTCGTGTGTAGACCGGGTCTTCGCAATCTTATCTTAAGAGGAAGGCCTGTTCCCCAGCCGTGAGGACAAAAATAGGCTGATGATAATGATGACCATTAAAAATCCTGGCAAACAGCTATTTATACCAGTAATAGTGGAAAACACGCACATTGCCCACTTTATGGTAATTGGCTAATAAGTCATTTGTTATACCGCATATCACTCGCGATTTGTCTAACTTGATAACTTCTCTCTCTGGGGCTCTAAAAATATAATTAAATATACTGTAGGTACGTACATTTCATATTGCTTTTAATCAAATAGAATCTGATATAAAATCACCGATATTAGCATTGAAAGGAAAATCCTGTTCCATTCGATTGACTTTTCGATAATCGACAACCGTAGCGGGCGTTAAATTATCAAATATATGATTTAGATCAGTTTTATTGACGGTACTGCATTAATAATGAAGAAGAATAATTATTTAAATAGCGTTGGCCCATTTTCAAAACCAGAATCTAGTAGTTTGTTTTGAAATATATTTATTTTTGTTTATAATTGATTTATGTTCCGAAAACCCTTTATGGATTTACTCTTTTAAGAAGTACTAATGCTTAGTAAGATACTTCTTGGAAAAAATAATAATAACATTTTAAACGTCACACAAGATTATATTTTAATTGAATCTGATCTGATTCTGATGTAACCTATAGCAATATATTTAGGCAACCTACGGTAAAAGAAAATGGGCGCAGATAAGGACTAAAGCAAATATACCCCTACTTACATAAATATAATTAAGGTCAAGGAAGGAAACAACTCGTGACCTGATCGCTAAAGGAATAAAGTGAACGTGCCTCTCTGATTCCTTCCAGGTAGCGTGTGTGGAAAATAGTGGGGAAAGAAACCGGAAGAGTGAATTTCTTTATTCTTTATTTTTGACGACCTCCATGGCCGAGTGGTTTGTACGCCGGGTTTCATGGTGTCGCCCACTCGAGAGGTCCCGGGTTCGAATCCCGGTGGAGGCAAATATTTGTGTGATGAATAGGAGTATTTGTACTCCAGTCATGGATGTAAAATATTTATTTCTATATAAATATACTTAATATGTACAGTATATGTATTCTATCCGTTACCCTAGCATCCCATAACACAAGCCTTACAGAGCTTACTTTGGGGCTAGGCTAATTAATTGGTGTGGGTGTTGGAAATATTTATTTATTTATTTTATGTTATATGTACTTAAGTTCTTACGCTAACCTTAGATAAGGAAACCTATTGAGTATTTTAAGATAGAAAAATATGTGACATAATCATTATATTTTATGCTTCTAAATTCTTAGTTGTGTTCATTTACTACCACGCGCAACGTTAATTATGGCTTTATTTATTCTTCAAATAACCATAGCACAATGATGACCGTTGAAAGCCGTCGCCTACTCATTTCTAGGGCATTTATAGGGATTCGTAATTTAAGAATATCGAGTAACAGATTTTATTGTAAACCCTATACTCTAACTACTGAGGTATAAATGGAACAGTTTGAAAACAAATAAATTTTTAAAATCTCCCCCACTGCCTCCCCATTTTTCTACCCAACATTAGCTTATAGACACCTGTCTCACTGCTGACGATGAGCTTCAATCGAGCAGAGCTAAACACTAGAAATAGGTTTTTATGCAGCTAAAAGCTTTAGTATCTTTTTCCGTTTCAATACACAAGAGAAGAGAGTTCTCGCCGGCTGAGCAAGCAATAAACTATTTCCATAATTTCTTTATGTCTTTTTTATTGATAACGGCTAAGTTAAGAAAGGTAAGGTTTATAGCGGATTTCTCCCTCAAATTGGAGCACCCATCTTGCGAAATATATACCGTTCCTACTTACGGTAAAATACGGTTATGTGGAAAAATAATACTCGGTGATGACGTGTTTTTGTTGAGATGTAAGCTTTCATGACTCCACGGAATACATGATTTGATTCATGCAAGGTGAGGATGGTAATATAAATCATTTTAAAAACTCTACGTCAGGTAAATTTAAGGAATTTATTGTGAACTAGCAGTTTGCCCCTCGCTTCGCTTGGATGTAGAGCTGAAGTGTAGACTACAGTTTTTGTTCTCAGGCTTGTATTATACACAATGACATTCATCTATGATTCTTCTTATACCTGCATGCAAAGTCTTAGCCCGAACTGTTTAAAATTGACAAAGTTTCATATAAACTTTCGGTAGAGTTGATCAAAATCCTTTCTTAGCGGATGCCTACGTCATAAAATCTACCTGCATGCCAAATTTCAGTCCGATCCGTCCAGTGGTTTGGGCTGTGCGTTGATAGATCACTATGTCAGTCAGTCACCTTTGAGTTTTATATATGTATAGATTAAAAAATAAGCGTAAACAAGCAATATATTGAGCTGCGTTACATAAATAATTCAGATATTGAACGCATTTTATGTTGTTTTGAAATAACTAAAGCCCTACAAACGCTCCGACCCTAACGGTACAGAAAACAGTTTCTTTCTGTTCTTTCTTTACAGCGCAAGTTTTTGCAATTTCTGTTTTGAAAATATTTTCTTATTTTATTAATTTAATCACTTTAGCAAGAACATACTACTCGGATTCCCTATTCGACTTAGCTTAAGGGTATGCCTAGAATACAGGCCAAGGAGAACTAAGTGGCCCCGAGCAACCTAGGTATTACTGCATGATCAATAAGGTTATCGAGTATTCGATAAGTAGGTAGTAGATTTCTTATCGTGATGGAAGAGAAACCTAAATCTGAATTTTCCCCGTAGGTGTGTTGTAATGAAAACATGCACCTAAACAAACAAGACCTTCATAATTAAAATAAACTTAAAAACTAGACATAATAATACTGGTAGGAGGTTTTAAACCTACCTAAGATGAATACCTGCAAATGTGTGCACATACGTTTGCTCACACAACAGCTCCATTTCTGTCACAGAGTATTCGCGCACGATCTAAGTATCACTATTAAAGTAATCACAATCTGTCTGGACTTTAAAAGAGGAAAGCGATAAAATTTAACCTTAGGCGTCTCGCGCACTAGACGACCACGACCAGTAGTCGTAACGACCAGATTAAATTAGACGTTGCGACCAAGTGCGCCCCGTTTGAACATTAACTTTCTTTAGTTTAACTGGTCTTTGCGACTACTGGTCGTGGTAGTGGCCGTCTAGTGCGTGAGGTGCCTTAGTAATTAATGAATCAGTTAAGAAAAGCTTTCTGTAAGTTGAAGAATTTTCAAAATTGGTTCCTGCAAGCAAACTACTTGTTTTAATATAAATGAGTAATTTACAGTTTTCAATCAACATGACGTGTCTCGATCGACATTGTAACAGATGTCTGGAATAGTAACCTCTTCATCTTCTTCTTGAATTATTGCAGCGAGTAATGTTTGTATCGGATGAAGATGATGAAGGGTCGATTAACGCACGTGTGATGCTTTGATAACGCCAGCGTTTTTAAGTTTAGCCGAATGCATGTCTTCCGATAATTATGATTTTTAAAAGTGAAAATGTCTTACATATTTATTTATTTATTTATTTATTTATTTTCATTTGGGAAACATACAGTTTTACACAATCAATTAAGTAACACTTATTACTATTTCATAAACCAGTTAAGTTTCCACAGACTGAAACATTCATAAACTTACATAATTTGCTCAATATTACGTACAATATTTAGAATTGTGTGATTAAAAGAAAAAAATAATTACTAAGTGTTAGGATAAAACAACCTTATAGCATTCATTTCTAAATTGGTTGTAAGAAAGGCAAAATATATCCAATCCCCTGAAGTATTTATTATAGCTGTGACATGCTCTAGAAATGAAACTCATCATCATCATGATCATCTTCGATCTTACGAACAAATATATTACAATTTTTTACCCAAACAAAGCGATATCCCAATTCAGTAGCTTTCTCCTTTACTTGTCGCAGAAGGTTTTTATTACGTCGAGTGAGATGTTCATTAATATATATTCTGCTCTCATTGCCTTCATAACCCAGATCCTCACAAGTAACTTTTTTCAATTTTTTTAGGCATGCCAAAAATTCGTCTTTTTTATATCGTGACTGCATTTTGAGAACGATTGGTCTAATGTTTTTATTTTCCTTATTTTTAGGCGCCACTCTATTAATGAAGTCTATGTCTCTATTTGGGTCCAACGAAAAACTGCTGAGTGCTGCAAGCTTCAAGATAATGTCGATTAGAGACTCCTTGCGGTTTTCAGGAACACCAATAATTTCTAGATTTGAGCGACGAGCCCACTGATCTTTGCTATGGTTTTGTTCCTCTATTAACTTGATTGCCGCCTTAAGTTCCTCAACATCTTGTCTTGTCTGACCTAGTGATTCAACTTTCACTTCAATTGCTTCCACTTTAGTTGATAAGGAGTTTACCTTTTCGTGGATAGTACTTCTTAACTGCGACATCTCATCACGAACCAACCTCAAATCCGAGCGCAGCGAGTTAATTTGCTCGAGTTGAGTATGAATCTTATTGAGGTGTTCAATTACGTGTTTCATGTCTATCTGAGAGCTGGGTGTATTTGAACAGCCCATCGATGTATCCATATCTTGACATTCCATTGTACTTGTGTTGAGAGATGAAGTATTCGAATCTATTTCTCGACATGAAACACATTTCCAGGAACTTTTAGCTAGGCCAAGTCTTTCATAGCCTCTTTCGGATATACCCCCACATGCAAAATGCAGCTTTTTTCTGCAGTATGAACATAAAGCTCCGTTACACACTTGTTCGGCACACTTCGGGCACGAGCTTGGATTCATTGCAGAAAAAAAAAGGTTTAGCTTTCCTGTTTTATAAAACTTACGCGGGTACACAGATACACAGCTGGACCACTGATAATTATGTTTTTGTTTAGTAAAATACAGTTGTTTAGCACGGTATTCTTGATAAATCACACTATCCGGACTTTAAACTTTGTTATGGTTAAAAATTAATCTAAGGATTCGTACGAAAACGGATATTATGATTAAAAAATTAAGGACAAATTATGTAAGTATGTGCTCACAATGACACCAAGGTGGGTACTGATGACTTAAACTTTATTGAACAAAATATGTAACAATGGTACAAAAGGCGGACTTAATGCTAAAAGCATTCTCTCCCAGTCAACCTTTGCGAAAAATGAAAAACCCGAACGGCGGTATAAAGCTAAATAATAATATATGTATAAAATAACATACCTGTGTGCAAAGCCAGTCTTGACAACGTATGGACTCTCAGCGTTGTAGATTCAGAACGCCCTCTAGCGTTGTAAGCGTAGAACACCAGCTTCAAAGCTTTTCCTGAACCGAGTCCACGCAGTTTCCACAGCGGTTGTGACGTGGACACGTTAGCGATCAGTGTGCCTGCTTCCCATGCCTCTACGAAATATATGCTCTGCAGACCACCGTCATGACCTGTTCAAAAGGAATCATATTTCAACAAACATATATAAGTTCTATTATTCTTCGTCATATTAGAAGCATCTCATTTAAAGATATCATCATAATTTTAGCTGTTTTGTTTTATAGTAATGGAATAAGACAATACGTTACTTTTATCTCTACGGTACAAGTGCCTACGGTATTAAAAAATAAACATATAGAATGATGACTTTTGTCTTTATAGATAACTAATGGCCCACCCTCGCTTTGCTTCGGTGTTGAGCTATAGTGTAAACGATTAACTGATAGTGAAAATATTGTTGCGTAGTTTTTTTTTTCTAGGAACTTTTTCTTTAGATTTATAAATCCAACAGTAAAATGTTTAAAATAAAATATAATATAAAAATAAAAAAATAACGTGAATGAGCTAAGAAATTATTTGATATAGATAAGTACACGATGAAATTCTACCAACTCACCAGCAACACATCTCAACTCCACAGCGTCATCTGTCAAATTGACGGTGGAGCAATTGAATGGTGGTTCTGGGCGCACCGCGGGTAGTACGCTGTACTTGCAGGGTTCAACCTGCTTGCCGGCTAGGTTGGTAGCTCGGCAGGATAATGACCCATAGTCGGCTTCGCTGGTGGGTATGTAAGTGAGGATGGACCGGCCAACGCTGTCGATGGTGAACTTGCTCTGTTACAAAAAGACGGTAAAATTAAATACCTAAATGAGAATAATATCGCACGACTCTTTTTTTTCTATTCGTTTAGAATAAAAAGCTAAATCAACATAACCGAATGGGTTGATTCACATCGGAATGGCAGTAGGGATGTCGAAAGTTGAAAAAAATATCGATATATCGATACATCGATATTTTAAAAAATATCAATATCGGCTTCGATATATCGTGAAAAAAACATCGATATATCGGACCAATTTTCCCAAAAATATATTTAGGTCGGCCTAGCACAGTAATAATAGTTCAATACAAATTATAATTAAAGAAAGAATTATCAAAGTACTAAATTGCCGCTACACTACATGACAGTACAGTACCTCACAAAATATGACACGCGGAATAATAATGGAACGAAAATTATCTCCCTAAAATAGACCCTATTTTCGAATGATGAAAATGATTGCAGGGCCTCTCAGGTGCCATCTTTCGTAAACAAGACTAGACAGTCACACACTTCCACAGAATATAATGGAAATCAACACAACCAATTCACCAGCGAAACAGATTTACAAATAATAGACAATACTAAATACAGCACAGATTATAGATATGTTGAATATCATTAATCTGAAATCCAGTTACGATTTTTCCAGATACGAAATTAGTTAGATCGTGATATGCCGCTAACAATTAAAAAAATATCGTTTTTGATACGAATTTCGATATTGGTTATTTTGTGTCGATGTATCGATATATCGAATCAAAATATATCGGCAAAAAATATCGATATATCGATACATCGATATATTTTCAACAAGCCTAAATGGCAGTGGCTGGTAACGACGCGGCGAACACTTTCAGTGTGAAATAATTTTAAACTGACCTACTTGAAACGGTTCTAGTTGCGATGATACGAGCGAGCGGCAATGCGTCAATGTGCATACTTTTAAGTATTAATGCCTAAGATTAAAATTAATTAATGTAAATAAAGTTTAGAATTATACACTGCAAGTGCCGGCTAAAAGTGTCGCAACGTCTTTGCCGGCCGCTGGCATTCCGATGTGAATCAGTCCTAAGGATCTTCGAAAAACAACATGGTTAAAACATATTGAATTTAGCCTAGAAATGCATTAAAAAAGTTTAACAGAAACAAAATTTTCATCAAGTCCTTAATTTACCATACAAATAAATACAATAGCCCATGAAGATTAAAAGATATAGTGACAGAAAAAAAAACAATCAATTCTTCACAACAATATCCGTAACAACCGGATAGAATTTGACGAAGCTTTTGTATGAAACGAAACGCGTTAGCCTGTATTCCGATTTCATGAAACTCACCGGCTCCAACTCCACAGTTCCCATGGAATTATTCAGTGTCCACTCGAAACTGTTCGGTGGGGGGAAGGCGTCCACTTCACACTTCACTTTTGCTGGCTCGTTGATGGCGGCTCCTACCACGAACGGTGACAAACTATTGCACACAGGTTTATCTAGGGACAATAAAAAATATAAGTTTTAATAAGTTCATTTTCTACAAATTCATACTAATATTATAAATTTGAAAGTGTGTCTGTCTGTCTGTTACCACAATACCGCTGATACGACTTAAATAATATATAATAATAAAATAAAATTGGTGCATAAATAGTTGACTGGCGGGAAAGGACATATTTTTATATTCAAGAAATCATCCTTTAGGGGAGTTAAAATGGGAATGGGAGTTTGTATCGGAAACTAATTTTACCACGTAGACGAAGTTGCGGGCACCCACTAGTCTCTTATATTTAAAAATACTAGGATTAAAAAGGTATTTTCTTTACTTTTTTCGTAGAAAATACCTATCTTATCTTCTGTCTATGCAGTGAAGTTAGCAGATGGCACCTTTTTTTCTTCGACTCTGTGTCTTACGTATGAGAATACGATGTTATCATCGTTACAGATAGAAAAGGTACGGATAACATTTACTATCACGTCAGAATTGTATCCGATTAAAAACATTATTATGCCGGTAGTAACAAACTTAATTCTTCAATCACAAGCAACACTCAATATATTCTATTTGTCTTTTTGTAAGAAAAACACGTGAATATTTGACAATGTATAAGTAGGAAGGAGATTTGATTTACTCAGTAAACATCTTAAGGATTCAAACTGTACAAGAATTCGATAAATATTGAAAATTGTTGTTCAGAGTCAAGCCTTTTGACATCCTTGCCTTTGTATATAGTGAAGGAATAACCCGTACTTAAATTGAAGTTAGGAGACAGCTCAACAAAATTGAGCGCAATGGGTAGATCAAACGATGGAAAGCCGTGAGCTTTCGGGTCGCTGGCATCACAAATTGAATATCGCTCTGTTGCGAGCGACGCAATGTGTTACGTTGCCTGCAAATGTATGCATGCAATACAGTAGGGTCGACTTTGATTCCGTGCACAAAGCGGCAACTCAACGGGCTATTGCGTATCCTGGCTGTTATAAACTCTGACGTTGATGCAGCTCTGGAATTAGATGTCACTTTCAACCTACTCGTGTAGGTATTGTAAAGTGCTATTTCCATACAGCGTTACTGAGGTTTCGTAAAAAGGGTAAAAGATATTTCTGAGTTTGTTTGGCTTTTCAATTTGAATTCTTAGACTGTTCTAAAATAGAATTCAACTTGGATTTAATTACCAGCAGCTTATATTTTAGAACAGTAATGAAGGGGAGAGCTAGTGGGATGCAAAATGATTGCGAGGATTTTGGACGCAATGGGTTTATTTACACTGTTTTAAAGTAATACACAAAATAATATTAAAGCAGATGACAGACAAAGACTACGACAACACAATAACAATTTTGATAGCAAAAATCATAAATATGTCAATAATTCAAAAAACTATAAAAACTAAATCTATCAAAAAATGTCTGCAACAAGTAATATATAACCTTACAATGAGTTTAGCAAAAAAGAAGATGATGATGTTTTAAGATAACTTAAATGCGAAAGCTAGCCAAGTTAAATCTTAGAATTTAGTAATTATAAGTACCTGTTTTGTGAAAATAATACAAATATTTGGTTTTTGGTTTCTTTTAAATAGCAAACATTTTTGCAGTAGCAATAATAAAAAGTTGACTTTTGGATGTATTTAAAATTGTTGAATGTTACATGCTTACACAATAAAATTTCGAAATTATCTTCAAAGGTTAATACCAATTCAGATCTCTGTTCTATTGTCGGTGACGACGATAACTACACATATTCAATTTGGATCATCAATGATTTTGTATCGATTGATTTTTTTATAATATTTCCTTACTGTCTACTGATACAGATAATTTATTACCTACAACTGACAATACATATATTTTTAATAACAATATGTGATTCATAATCAGAGAATCTTTAATTCCATGAAAAATACTAATTAAAGCCCATTCAGTTCATCTCAGAGGCCGGATGACTTTGCCATGTTACGCTAAATGTCTTGGTAAATGCATATAGATACATTTCAATATACTGACGCTACCCAGTTTCACTATTAAATAAATGAACCTCGTTTATCAGCAGACTAATAATGTTCGCACAATAGTCACCTTTCAACGCGGACGTTAGCTACAAGAATGCTGAAACATTTTGCCTGTCCGGAAAGCAAGTTGAAAAGCCTTTTTACTACTTACCGCTTTATTCAGTTGTTGAAATTCTAGTAGCACTACACACCAGAATGTTTTGAATAAGAGTGGTAATATAAAACATTTTGGCGAAGTTTTAACTTTAACATTGAGAAGGTATATGCTAAACTATTTTAGGGTTCCGTACCTCAAAAGAAAAAACGATTTATAGAATCACTTTGTTGTCCGTCTGTCTATTTGTCAAGACCCTTTTTAAAAGACCCAAGATCTTTGGAACGCATAGAGGTATCAATTTGAGATTTAATTATAAGCATAATAATCATAATCAAAATCATTTATTCAGTATAGGCTGTTACAAGCACTCATGAATGTCTAGAAGCTACGCCATCGGTTCGTAAATTTACGGCTGGAGACCTGAGAAGAACCGGCATGAAACTCAGCAAGGGCTGTTTTTTTCTCCCTGTTTTATTATTTCCAGTGGTCAAATTGAAAAATCACTGCAGAGATGATTCATGAAGTCACCTTTCATGACATAATCATTAAATATGCATTGATTGTTTACCCGCATTGAGATTTAAACCTTATACTCATATCTTTTGTCTCTTAAAGCTGTGAAAAATCACACATCTAAGTTAACGTAAATAAACGGCCAAGTGCGTGTCGTGCCACGCGCAGTGTAGGGTCCGTAGTTGCCTGTTGTTACCACAATATAATTGAGCAGGAGTCTTTATTTTCTGTATGTATGTATAGAAAATATAAAAAAACAATAAATAATAAAGAAAAACAAACTATTTATCTTAACTAATCTTTTCAAGTGCATAAATACTCTTTATAAAAACGTAACGATAGCGTGATTCATTTGCCTTTGCCGTTGCCGTTGGTACTTTCGGTAGCTTTGAGGAACCAATATTATTTATTATGGTTTTAAAATAGTTATTTTAGATTTTGTTTTTCAATGTAAGGTTTTACGCTTCAATAACTTCATCTATATCACTACTCATATTTTCTTCTAAGGTATTTTCAATAGGTAAGAATTTTTCTTTAAACAAAACGAACGACTATTATTCTTAAATTAACAAATTTATCTTAACCGTTATGTTTTTTATTACAAATACATGAAAAGCACTATTATAGTATTAAAAATAAAGTGCCAATTGTTAGCATCTGTATTTAGAATGAATATTGGTAGGAGTTTTTACTATTTTTATAGAAAAAATATTCATAATTTTACTAAAACCCACGATAAAGATAATAATTTTCTTGTCTATATATATACATACACACATCAAAAGTGTCTAGGGATCAAGCATTTTTATGCGGATTTCTTGAGATTGAGATGTGGCTTTGTAATAAATTTATGATTTTATAAATTTATATGGATCCTTTTTGGTACATTTCATAATTTGAATCAGGAACTGTGAATCAAATTCGAGTAAAAGATGAAAATCAGCTGTCAATATTTTCCCTATAAAAACATACAACGCATTGAAGACATTATTAGTGCTACTGTTTCCCTACTACTGATTAAAACCAACGTTATTATGGAGCGGCGACGTCATTTAAGCAGGGAAGAAATGCTCAGAGCCGTGGGAATGATAGAAGCTGGTTCCCGGCAACGTACTGTGGATTTAGCTCTGAATACAAGTCAGAGTGTTATCAGTCGACTTTGGACACGATACCGAAGCACTGGTACCGTGGCTGAGCGCCATGGAGGACGGTATCGCTGCACCACACGGAGACAAGACCGATACATTCAAATCTTAACTCGAAGAGCTCCAACAATAACCGCCATGATGTTAGCCGTGAGGCTTCATCACTCTTCAGGGAACTTAATTAGCGACCAAACAGTCAGAAACCGCTTGCATGAAGTGAACCTTCATTCCCGAAGACCGCTACGGGTACCACCTATAGCAATGCACAATCGTAGGATTCGATATCAATCGGCTCTTGAACACAGAAATTGGGCAGAAGAACAATGGCGTTTCGTGTGCTTTTCTGATGAGTCTCGTTTTGGTATGAGACCGGATACAAGACGTATACGACACTGGAGAACCCCTGGACGCCAACAGCGATTAAAATCCTGCCAGGAAGTCCATCCTTATAGTGGTGGAACCATCATGGTATGGGCGGGTATTTGGATCGGCGGAAGAACTGAGTTGATTTGGATCAGAGGCAACCTCAACGCTCAAATTTATGCTGAGACGATTGTATCAGACGTCATCGTTCCTCTACAAGTGCAAATCGGTCCCTTATTTCAGTTAATGCATGATAATGCACGACCGCACACCGCAAGAGTTGTAAGACAGACTCTCGCCGCAGCTAACATCAATGTCCTGCCCTGGCCTGCTCAGTCGCCAGACTTGAACCCGATTGAGCATGCATGGGATATGCTACAGAGAAGAGCTCTGCCGAATATGGAGGGTATCCAGTCGCAAGAAGACCTTTTTTTGTTGTTGCAACGAACATGGGCGGCCATTCCACAGCGTGATTTGGATGAACTCATTTTGAGTATGCCAAACCGATGTTCTTGTGTTGTTAGTGTTCGCGGTAGAAATACGGATTGTTAATTGTTTAAGTTACCCAATAAAATTTTAGAGAAAACTGTTATTTCAGTCTTTTTTTCGAACTTTTGTGTTAGTGGTTCAAATGTCAAAAATCCCTTTATTAGGAAAATGGCAAATTTCTTTATTAATGCAAAGGTGACTTGGTTTATCGTTACTGTGACAAACGAAAACACTTTATTTGATGAATCCTTAAAGAAAATTTTAATTAATATCAATCAGGAGAAAAGTTATTGCAAAAATATATGTTGATCCCTAGACACTTTTGATGTGTGTATATATATATTGTCACGTGACCCAAAACGCTTGGGATTGGTGCA